GCCGGAGCTGCTGGTGTGTCTTTAGAGACCCTCACTACCCTCCTCCTCCAAACCTCTCCGCCGCTGTTGTTGTGTCGTCTCCCTCCCTGTCCCCCCGCCTGCCACGCAGGGATCCCCCGTCCTCTTCCCTCCGTCCTGCTGTGGCTGTGGCTTGCACGCTGCGCGCTCCCTCCCGCCGCTCCCGCATTCCAAGGAGCACCCGGATCCTTCCAGACCAAAGGCACGAGGGCAAGAGCTTCGCTTCCATCCCCTTGTGCTGCCCGGCAAAGGTTTGGCAAGAGCTGGTGGCCCCCTGGCTTCTCAGCGGGGAGCTCGGGGTGTGTTCGGGGCACAAACAGCCAGCACGGAGCTGTGGCGTGGGTGCCAGCCCCAGCCCTGCAGGCACAGCAGCCCGTGGTGCACTGCTCATCACCTGCCTGAACCCTGCCCCGTGCCAGCCCCCAGAGCTGGAATCATTCTGGGAGGATCTGAGGGGCTCGAGGGTGACATGGTGAGCAGGTCCCACGCGTGCTGCGGCTGGGGCTGTGGCCTTCCTGCTGCCATGGGGCATTCCAAGGCATGGATGCTTCTCACACAATGCTTCTGGACATGGCTAAAGGCTGCTGGGCTGATGGACACCATGCAGGGGGGCTTTGGGATGCCTCCTTTCCATTCATAGGGAGTTTGGTTCTCCCACTGCCATGCCAGAGCCACTCGTGCTGTTCCCAGCTCTCCACGTGCCTCCCAGCTTGGGGAGCCCTGTCCCTGGCCAGCCCCTGCTCTCTGCACTGTCCCAGACTTTGGGCCAGAAATGTCACTTCATCTGCCCCAGTGCCAGTGGTGGCATAAGGAGGGTCCAGATGTGCTGCTGGCCCAGCCCAGAGCGGATGCTGGATTCCCTGGCTTGCTCCCCATGGGCAGGACAGCCACTACCTCCAGACCTGCTCTGTCCCAAACCCTTTCGTTCCCCATCTTGTGCCTCCATCTCTGGTGGGGCCAATCCCACCCTGGGGTCTCCATCCACATCAGTTGTTTCCAGGAAGGTTGCTCTGGGCACACAGAGACCTTGGTGGCCCTGGTTCTGCTCATGGCCCAGCAAAGTCCCCAGCACACAGAGCACTCAGCACCTGACAGCAGCACCAGTGTGTCCAGGAGCTGCACGCACCCTCTGCCAGGGCACAGCACACAAGACACCCACCCTGTCTGTCCTGCCAGGGCACAGCACACAAGACACCCACCCTGTCTGTCCTGCCAGGGCACAGCACACAAGACACCCACCCTGCCCCTCTCATCAGGGCACAGCACCCTCATGCACCCACTCTGCCCCTCCTGCTCTCAGGGCTCCTTTGGGATGTATTACAAGGCTGCACCCCGAGAACAGGCCTGGGTCAAGCCTGTGCTGACCCTGGCACTGGCAGTGGGTGACATGTGTGTCCCTGCAGGCGCTCGTCCAAGTACAACCTCTGCAGTGACAACCATGGGATAAAGCCACCGACGCCGGAGCAGTACCTGACTCCCCTGCAGCAGAAGGAGGTCTGCATCCGGCACCTGAAGGCTCGCCTGAAGGACACACAGGAGCGCCTGCAGGACAGGTGAGCTCCTGGGAAGGGTGCCAGCACCAGCCATTGCCATCCACTGTGGCAGCTCCTGTCTGGGACTGGTCCTTCTGGGAGTCTCAGTTCCCAGCATGGCACCTTGTCCTCGTGCTCGTGCCCAGGGACTGAGGTCACAGCTGTACCATGGCATGGCTGGCATGTGGGATCTGGCACTGCTGCCCGTCCCACCTGGGAGCTGCAGATTTGGGGACTGGAGAGCCCCACGTCCCACCTGCAGTGGCTGCGTTCTCCCCTCGCCCTGTTTAAGTCCCTGCCATGGTTTTGCTGAATTTCAGCGTCAGAGGGTGGCTAATCCCCATCTGCTCTCTCAGGCTTAGGCACGGCCCCGCCGCCGTGCCAGCTGCCACGCGCGCGCCCGGGGCACCTGCCCATCCCCACGCAGCCCTCAGGAGACCTGGGCACTGCAGCCTCTCGGGGAGAAGGCTGAGCATCATTTGCAGGGATCCCTGAGCTCCCACTGCTCCAAACAGTGCTGCCAGGGGGCCCTGAGCATCAGTCCTGAGGGTTCCTGAGCATAAATCCTGAGAGTCCCTGAGTATCACTCCTGAGGGTCCCAAAGCATCCATCCTTGGGTTCCCTGAGCATCATTCCTGAGGGTCCCTAAGCATCACTCCTGGGGGTCCCTGAACATTGCTCCTGAGGCTCCCTGAGCATCACTCCTGAGGGTCCCTAAACCACTGGATCCATCCCTTGTTCCCAGTTGGGAATGTTACTGGGTGATCTGGTTGCAACCCAGTGCTGGGCACAGAGGACAGGGCTGTCCCTGCAGCCCCCTCAGCGCCGCGGTGGTGCCCTCCCGTCTCCGCAGGGATGCTGAGATCGAGGACCTGAAGACGCAGCTGTCACGGATGCAGGAGGACTGGATCGAGGAGGAGTGCCACCGCGTGGAGGCCCAGCTGGCGCTGAAAGAGGCTCGCAAGGAGATCAAGCAGCTGAAGCAGGTCATCGACACAGTGAAGAACAACTTACTGGAGAAGGACAAAGGCCTCCAGAAGTATTTTGTGGACATTAACATCCAGAACAAGAAGCTGGAGACGCTGCTGCACAGCATGGAGGTGGCACAGAACGGGGCGCTGAAGGAGGAGGGCGCCGGCGAGTCGGCCGGGGGGTCCCCGGCGCGGTCCCTCACCCGCAGCTCCACCTACACCAAGCTGAGCGACCAGGGAGCCGGGGACCGCAACGTGGGGGGCTCGCAGACCATCTCGCTGGACGAGGGTGCCGACAGCGGCTTCGTGGGGATGGAGGAGGCTCCGGGCCACACGGACCCGCTGGAGGTGGGGGGTGAGCCCGGCACCCGCCTGCCCCCCAGCAACACCTACGAGAAGGTGCTGGGACTGCGGAGCAGCGCGGAGGCAGGGGTGCAGGCCAGCTGCATGCAGGAGCGGGCCATCCAGACGGACTTCGTGCCCTGCCAGCCCGACCTGGACACCATCCTAGAGAAGGTGATGAAGTCCCAGGCTTGCAGCTTGGGCAGCCCCACCTCCGCCTGGGTCTCTGAAATGGAAGACACGATGCCCGTCCCCGAGCTCGCCAATCCCAGCGGGACCACGGACCTGATGGTGGCCGAGCCCGACGCCGCGGCTGCCAGTGCCGAGGGGAGCGTCCCCTGCAACCCGGCGGTGCGGCAGCCCCCCAGCGCCAGCCCCTCGGTGGCCATCGCCTGCGTGGCGGAGGAGGAGCTGATGGAGGTGACCGGCTGCGAGACCAACCCTTCCAAGAGCTACTGGAGCCGCCACTTCATCGTGGATCTGCTGGCGGTGGTGGTGCCGGCGGTGCCCACGGTGGCCTGGCTGTGCCGCTCGCAGCGGCGGCAGGGCCAGCCCATCTACAACATCAGCTCGCTGCTGCGGGGCTGCTGCACCGTCGCCCTGCACTCCATCCGCAGGATGGGCTGTCGCCCCGTCGCCAGCCCCTGCCCCGGAGGCACTGCCCAGCCCTGACCCCTCCGACGCCCTCCACCCGCCCCCACGGACCCGACTGCTGATTGTAAAGCCCCGGCGTGGCTCCGGCGGGTGGGAAGGGGCCGAGGGGTCTGTGGGTGCATCGAGGTGTGCTGCCCGCCCCCAGCTGCTCGAGGAGGGAAAGAACTGTTGTTGGAAGAGGGGTGTTGGCACCCAGCGTCACCCCCCGCCGATGGACACCCGTGCCTGTGCCTCTGGCTGCGGGGGGCTGTGGGGCTGCACCCGCCGCGGGGGCTGTCCCTCCATCGCAATTGCTTTTTATTTGTCGCGGGGTTATCCCAGCCGTGCCACGGGCGGGTGATGGCGAGGAGCCGCTGGCAGCGTGGAGCGCTGGGGATGCAGCGGTTCCTTGCTGCAGGTGCAGTGTCTGTCTGTGGGCAGGGGGATGGGGGGTTCCTGTCCAGACACAGGGATCAGCTCCGGAGCGGTTCGGGCCAGCCCCCCATTCCCTAGGAGATGCCTCCCCACACTGGGATGGAACTGGGCTGCAGCTCACGCACGGAGCCCCCCGAGGAAGCCGTGGGCTCTCCCTCCCTTTGCTTTGCACTATATTCACTTTTTTTTGGGTACAGACTGAAGCCCGGCTGTTGGGACTCTGTATGCCGGGGAGCGGGACCGGGGGCTCCTGCGGTTCTGTCAGCCGTGCTGCCGGTGATCCCACCACGTGCTGGAGCTCGGATGCCTTTGCTGGGGTGGGGCAGTGCCGTGCAGGCAGAGCCAAGCCCTTTGCCGCCCCGGCCCACCCAAACCCCCGCTTTGCTGGCGGCCTCCGGAAAAATGCCTTTTTTTTTTGTTGTTGAAACACAAAGACAGCAAGGATTGCTCAGCGGGGCTGTTGGGGCGCGGGACTTGGGGCTGCCCCGGGCGCGCCGCACTCCCACCCACGAATGTCTGTGGTTTCTTCGTGACTTGAACTAACAGTGTTTCCCCCCAACCCCAACCCAAGCCCACTCCCCCACCCGTGGGTGCCACCAGCCAGGTGCCCTGGCAGCCGGTGATGCTCCACACGCCAGTGTCCAGTGGTCCCCAGAGGGGCATGTGCCACATCCTGTGTGCCCCACACTTCCCTGCATCCCCCTTCTGCCGGCTCTGCCCATGCTGGGGGGCAGTGGGGACAGGAACTCTGCCACCAGCACAGCACCAGGTGCCGGGGGAAGGATTTGGGGAGCAGCAGTGTCCAGGCAGCCGGGGCAGATGTAAGCGGAGCTGGGATATTCGCCTCTCGTGCAATGTGTTTGTGGATCTGTGTACACGTCTGTTAGGCTATCCAAAGCTTTGCCAAGAAATAAATGTAACGACTATATTTGAAAGACAAATCTATATAATATATTTTTTAAATACAGAACTGAAAAAGCTGTAACCCCCCTCTTCTTGTTTCCCCTGTCCTGTACTGGCTGTCTGTGGTGGATGTAATAAATGTCGCTGGGTCTGTGTCTGCTTCGGCTGGAGCCAGCCCTTGGCATCTGCCCTGAGGGGGTGGCCCAAGCAGGGACACGGGGACAGTGGGACCCTGGTACAGGACATCTGCCCCATCCTTGCTGAGGAGAGGAGGAACCACCCAGCAGCCACCAGACGCTGAAGGAATAAGGGGTTTTGTGCTAGAATAGCTCCTTTGGAGGTGCTGTGGGGTCCTCTCAGCTGGCCCTCTGGGCTTCCAGCATCAGCTCCCGGAACAGCAGCGATGGTGTCACAGGTCAGGGATGGAGTGGTCCATGGATGACTTCACCAGCCCTGATGAGAGCCTGAGCAGAGGGAAGGGAGGTCAGTGGGGGGAGCCCAGGGGTCCCTGTGGGGTGTGGGGGTCCTTGCAGCCCCACATTCTCACCGTTTGACCATGTGCTCATAGATCACGGTGGGGATGATGGTCAGTGTCACCACGTTCCCAGCCCCTGCCAGCACCTCCATGAGCTGCTTATCCTGCAGGAGAGAGAGGGGGGTCCAGAAGTGCCCAGCTTTGCTCAGTATCCCCCTCCCTCCTGGACTCTCTGGTCACATCCTGGACTCCCCAGGCACGTCCTGCACCCCCAGGGCACAGCCCTACCTTCATGCCGATGACATTCTGGCCGTTCACCTCGCAGATGCAGTGGTGGGTGAGGAGCCCGTTGCGGGCGGCCGAGCTGTCCTTGGCCAGCGACACAATCTTCCCCTTCTTCACCACGATGCCGATGTGGCCGGTGCTGTCCTTGTGCACGGTCACGGTGCGCTGGAAAGGCCTGCGGGGAGAGCAGCGTCACTGCTGCCACCGGCACTGCCACCACCGCCGGTGCCAGCACCCACTCACCTGTCCCGCACCACCATGACGATTTTTTCAGGGTTCGCCTTCTTCAGCGCGCGCTGTGCCTTGTCGCTGCTCCAGCCCGCGCAGTTCTTGCCGTCGATCTGCAGCACCTGGTCCCCGAAGCGCAGCCCCACCAGCGCTGCTGGCGAGTTGGCCTTCACCAGCTGCACGAAGATGCCCTGGGGACACGGTGGAGTGGTGGCACAGGGACCAGTGGCCATGCCATGCCATCCGCACCCTGCTGCGCTGTGGCGCGCCGTGACATTTAATGCCACACGCTGCTGTGTTGTGATACACTGCCACGTCACGCTGTGCTCTACTGTCATGCTTATGCCATGTCACATCATGCCACGACACAGTCCCATGCCGTGCCCAGCCCCATGCCAGCCCACCCCCTCACCTGGTCGACGTTCTTCAGCTGCAGCCCCGTCTTGCCCCGCTCGTCCTTGCACAGGTGGATCTCCCGCACGCCCGGCTTGATCTCTGCCCGCCGCAGCCCCGCGCTGTTCCCGCTCAGGGGGGCGACCAGCTGGCCGGGGGAGGGCCCGGCGGGGGTCAGTGCCTGCGGGGGAGCTGGGGGTCAGTGGGGACAGGGGGACACGGGGCCCTGTGCACTTCAGCCCTTGGGAGTGATGCATCCCTTTCTCAGGCAGGATGAGGAACCAGAGGGACCCCCGTTCTGGCATGGGGAGCCACGTGGGGCAGGGAGCTGCCAGCCCAGACACCTACGGTGCTGTCCTCCGTGCGCAGGTTCTTCTGGATCTCCTCGCTGGAGAGCGCCAGCCCCATGTAGTTCTCCAGCTCGGCTAGGTTGGGGTACAGCACAGGAGGCTCTGAGGGACATACCAAGGGTGGTCTCAGCTCCTGGGGCCCCCAACCCACAGCCATGGCTCCCTCCATCCCAGAAGCCCCCTTGGACCATGGGCCAGCAAAAAGAAACCCCAAAATCCCATCCCCAACCCACTGTGTTGTGGGAGGGGTCTCAGCTGAGCCCCCCCCCCCTCCCCCATTGAGCATCACTGCCCACCCAGACAACCCCTGCACAGGGTGAGCTGATCATGTCCCACCTTACCAGTGCCCGAGGTGAGCTTCGGCTTCTCTGTGACCACTGTGGTGGCAGGGGTCCTCACCCCAGCTGCTGCCTGTGCCTGCCAAGAAACAGGGTGCTCAGTGCTGTGCCCCCCACCCTGGGGACCCTCTGAGGTGAGACCGCACAGGGACTCACTGGGGTCTGCTCATCCCTGTAACACTGCTGAGCTGGCACTGACCTGCAGGACCTGGTGGCCCTTCATGTCCTCCAGGGAGGGGTAGAGCGTTGCCATCGCTGCTGCTGTCTGGGGACAGGGATGGGCAGTTCAGGGACTGGGTTGCCTCTCTCCAAGCATCCCTCCCAGCCCGTACCGGAGATGGGCTGTCACCTGGAGTCTCCAGTGTGACTCAAGGCTATGTCACCAGGGCCACCACCACTTCCTGGTGGCTGGGACACGGATGGCTGTGTGCCGGGCAGATCCTGCTCCCCATGCCCACCTGCCCCACAGAGCCATCCCAACAGCACCCAGACAGGGGAGGGGGATATCCCATGGGAATGGCCCCTCTGCCCCTCATCAGACCCCTCTGCTCCCCATGCCCAGCTGAGCAGTGGGGCCATTCCAGCACTACCCAGACACGGCAGTGAGATGTCCCATGGGAACAGCCCTTGTACACACCATAAATCCCCTCTGCATCTCCTGTTGTGCCCAAGGCTGTGCCTCCCAAACCTACTCAATGGCATCTTGTGCCCCAAAAAGCATCATCCAAAACTCATTGGTAGGTCCCAAATCCAGACCCAGCTCTGAGTCCTGTGGGAACCAGGCAGGATCCCACCTGCAGCCCAGCGAAACCAGCTCTTCCAACAGACAAGAGCTCCCAAGTCCAACCCTGGCACCCCAGACTCACCTGCCAGCAGCTCCCAGATCCTTGTGACACCACCCTCTGCCTGGCTCCGGGGTTTTATAGCCAGGCCCAGCCCAGGGAGGGGCCAGACAGGCTCAGCTGATTGCACCCCCGCTAGGTAGGGCACAGGTGAGGAAGAGGAAGATGAAGCCAACAAAGCACAGAGCCCTGGCACTGCAGGGGTGGGACAGGGATTGGAATGGGGACTGGGATGGCTTTCTGTAGGTTTGGGCATCCTGGGGGAGCAGGGATGGGACTGTACCCCCCCATGGTGCCCTCCCCTCCCCCCAGTGCATCACCTCTCCTGCCAGCCCCAGCATGTGGCTTGGCCCCTGACTGGGCTGCCCCCCACCCCCATTATCCTTCCTGGGCTCCTCAGCCCTGCTGGGGGGGTGAAGGGGGCTGCCCACCGTGATCCCCTGCGTGGGTGGCTGCGCTGACACCTCGCTGCCCCGGCGCGTGGGGCTGACGCGGCCGTGACCAGGATCCCGTGTCCCACACCCTTCCCAACGTCACCTGGGACACGTGCCAGGTGTGGGAGTCCCATGCTGCGGGTGGAGAAACTGAGCCAGCACAGAGCTCAGCATGGGGCGGCCGTGGCATCCTGCTGCCATGGGCCATCACCCTGACACCGGGGGATCCAGCCCTCCAGCAGCCAGCGGTGACATTCTGCTGTTGGCATGGAGGATGCCATGGGCCACTCTGTCCCCAGGGGCTGGGCAGGGGGATGCTGAGGGTGCTCGGGCAGGCCTGGACCCGGTGGCACCAGCCCAGATCTCCCTGGCACAGAGCCAGTCCTACTGTGGAGGCACAGCCAGGCACGTCCCAGCTCCCTGTGCTCCGCTGCAGCGTGCCAGGCCAGGAGGAAGTGTTTTATTTACTGGAGTTATTTTTAGCTGGATGGTGCCCAGCTGCCTTGACCAGCCCAGGACAAGAACAGCCTCAGCACCAGTGGCAGAGAGAGTCCTACACAGACACAGAGGATTTTTTCCTGGAGTCTGTTAATTCCCTGAAACCCTCATCCCCATAAAACCACAGCTGTAAGGACTCACACCCCACCTGCACTCATGGATGCTTCAGGAGCTGAGCAGGGGCTGAGGGCCCAGGGGCAGGGGGCTTCCCTCAGCCTCCCCCCTGCCCTGGCTTAGCCCCAGCCATGGCACTGCCTGGCACTGGTTAATAATTAAAGCAAAAAGCTTCGCAGGAAGAGAAACACAAACTGGCCTCAAGCTTCCACCCAGGAACGGCCACAGCTAAGGACAGAGCAGGGTGCCCCACAAGCTCCGGTTCTGCTTAATTGAGCAGCAATTAAGGGCAGTGCTAATTCCTGCACGGCCCTGTGCAAGCACCACTGCTCCTAGATGCATCCCAATGGCTGAGCTGCTCCTGCCCCAGGGCCACTGCTCCCTCCAGGACCCATTGGACACAAACTTTGCTTGGCAGCTGGGACAGGCTGTGTTATTGATCGTGGCTGTGTTATCAGTTGTGGCACACTGATCAAAGGTTGTCAGCAGAGGAACAAGGCACTGGCCCACAGTGGCGCCTGGGCAGGTCCTACACACACAACACCCACAGCAGCAAAGCCCAAAGCAGGTGATGTGCTGTGCCCTATGTGCCATGTCCAGATTTCAAAAAGGACTGAAAAAAACCCAGAAAGGTGTAAGGAAAAAAAAAAATCCTGGAGCTGCAAGGACCATGGGAACATGCATCCATCTATCATATCCAGTCCAGGTTGAGTCACAGCCACAAGGGCACGAGGCTGTGAGGGCAATGCTTAATAGGTTATGGTGAGGCAATTAATTATGCAAATTCCAGCAGGCCGCCATCATCTCCCCACAGAGCACAGGAGCCCCAGGCACCCTACTGTGCTCCCAGAGCACCTGAGCCTCACACTGAGGCACAGCAGCACAACCCTGGCACAGCACTGCACGAGCCTGGCACTGCACCCAAAGCACCCCATGAGCCTGGCACAGCACCCCAAAAACCCAGAGCAGCACCCACAGCACCCCACACTGCACCCCCTGAGCCCAGCCCCAGCTGTGCTGAGCAACAGACGAGCGAGGGAAGAACCTCCAGGACACAGGGCTGAGAAAAGCCAGCATAAAGCGTTTTTATTGCGATAATAAACTGGATACCTTTGTGCGGCGGAGAAGGAAGTGACCGGCGGGAATTTCTGTTACCAACGGACTGGGCAGGGCAGAGGGAGGGGCACAGGGGACAGCTATGCGTCCTGTGAGACCAGGCAAGCGGCGATGACCAGCATCAGGTGGCAGGAGAGAATGGGCAGGTGTGCTCAGAGCAGGGACAACGGGGGGCTGATGGTTCCTTTCCACGGGGAAGAAGGAGGACAGAGGCATTTGTGTTGAGTTGAGCCCCCACCACCTCCCCTGCAGACAGCACCTTCCCTTTGTCCAGTTTTCCTTTTTCTTTAAAGAAAGCTCCATGCTACGGGATTTTCAAGGTGTGGTGGAGCTCTGGTGGAAACCCAACTCCCTAAATCCAAAAGTGGTCTGGCAGGGTGAAGCAGGGGCAGAGCAGCCCTCCTTTCCCAGAGCAAACCCACAATGCCTGCAGTGATGCTCCCCAGGGAGCAGGGAAAGGCCAGGCTCCCTCGCTGTCCCACTCCAGGCAGAATTCCTATAAAACAATCCTAGTGCTACCTTGCTCTCTGCATCCCTTCAGCCTGCACAACCTCACTCTGCTATGGCTTTTGCAGCAGCAGCAATTTCTGGTTTGGAAACACCATAAATCTGCACCAAAACGAGTAACTAACAGGGTTCCTTTTGTTCAAATGACTCCTATCTAAGGTCAGCCCATCTGCGTGCTACTGGGAAAACGTAGTCTACACCTGGAACAAAAATAAGATTAAGAACTTGACCCAAAAAGAGTTGAGGTTTACGGTGTATAGTTTAAAAAGACATAAAAACACGATACAAGGAGGAAGAGTCAGACGCAAAGCTTAGTGACCAAAGGCATTCAATCAAGGTGTAAGGTTATACAATGAGTGTAGTGGGCTATCAGGAAAAGCTCCGTACAAAGTCATGTGCACTCTTCTTGAAGCTGAGATTCTGGATTCCTCCATGTGCCAAACCTGTGTGGAGAGAGGAGAGGCAGAGTGACAGAGCTGCCTGCTGGACAAGGAGAGAATGTGCCCAGGGCACAGCAGCCTCCACACAAACCACACCAGGCCCTCACAGCAGCAGTCAAGCCTTGATCACAGGGGGGGCACAGTCCCACCCTGCCCACACCATGGGGACCCCACACCCCAGAGCAGAGCCCCACAGAATCACAGAATGGGCTGGGTTAGGAGAGACCTATCTTGCTTCAGCCTCCTATCAAGACCCATCTTGCTTCAGCCTCCTGGCACAGGTAGGCACACTGTCCACTAGTCTAGCTGTTCAAAGCCCCATCCAACCTGGCCTTGGACACTTCCAGGGATGGGACAGCCATAATTTCTCTGGACAGCCTGTGCCAGGGCTCCTCCAGCCTCACAGGGAAGAACTTCTCCCTAATAGCTAATGTAACCTTGCCCTCTGTCAGTGTGAAGCTGTTCTGCCTTGCCCTGTCACTTCAGGCCCTTGTGCAAAGTCCCTCTCCAGCTCTCTTGGAGCCCCTTTAGGCTCTGGAAGGTGCTCCAAGGTGTCCCCAGAGCCTTCTCTTCTCCAGGCTGAGCAACTCCAGCTCTCAGCCTGTCTCCATAGCAGAAATGCTCCAACCCTTGGGTCATAGTCACTGCCTCCTGCCCACACCATCAGCCCCTTGCCCAGGCAGCATGAGAGGCAGGAGAGGGTGTGGCAGCTGAGCCCCCTTGGTGCAGCAACAACACTCAGAACCCAAGGCACAAAGAACTGGCACTACAACACCTCCAGGACATGAACCTGCTCTGCCAGGCTGGGAATTTTGCCTGTAGCACTGTAGTGATCAGAACCCCAGCTCATCAGACTCCCAAGAGCAACTTTTACCCAGAGACCTGCCCTGTCCTTCTCATATTCCCCACTACTGCCCACTCCCCCCGCCCTTGCCTCCATCCCACCTCCCCACACTAGCCCAAGATCAAACACAGGGGCCTTGAGCTGTCCTCAACCCACACAGTCCCTGACAGAAGTTGCCCCTCCTTACCCGAGGACAGGGTACTGGGATGGGTCATTCCAATTTCATGAGCTCCACGTCAAAAATTAGAGTGGCGTTTGGTGGGATGATCCCTGGGTGGCCAGTGGAGCCGTAGGCATAATCTGGGGAGATGGTCATCTTTGCCCGCTGACCAACGCTCATCTGGGGCAGGGACAGAAACACAGGGACATCAGGAGATGGGCACAACTGCCAGGTGAGTGACAGGGGAGGGACACACACCTGTCCGCTCTGTTTTCCCTACACTGGGCAAGAGTACAGACCGAGGCTGCACGAAGCAGAGAAACAGAATGTCAGAGAGAAAAGGTAAGCAGCATGGGCTGGAAAAGGAGCAGGGCTCGAGATGCCCTTCACACAAGAGAAGGCAGGGAATGCCAGGCCATTCCCTCCAGCCATCAGCATCCTTGTGCTTGTGTTGCCAGCACGGCACAGAGTGAGCGGTGTCAGGCGGGCAGGAGCTGAAGCTGTGCTGTGCCCACAGCGTGGGATCACAGCCCGGAGCTGTGCCCACCAGCCCTCCCTCCGCGTGGGCTCCGGAGCCCGGGAGGCCGGAGCGCTCCCGCCGTGCTCCTTCAGAGCTAACTCAGTGCAGAAATGTCACCGCTGAGTCACCGACGTGCCGTAGGTGTTGCTGGGGCCTGGCCCGGCTCCATTCCTGCCAGCTGGCAGGTGGCAATGCAGAAGGTGATATTCACACCCACACCTCCCAGCGCTGAGGGGGTGGAACAGGGGAATAAAATAAAGAAATAATAAAAGAGGGAATGAGCTGCATGCACACTGATTCCTGCCCACGCCGCAGCTCCCGGCGCGGCACAGCCTGGCACGGGGAGCGCGAGGCGGAGCAGCTCCAGGCACCTGAGCGACTCCTTCCTCCCAGCCACGGATCACCTCCTGCTTGCCCATCACAAACTTGAACGGCTTGTTCCTGTCGCGGGAGGAATCAAACTTCTTCCCATCCTCCAGCATACCTGGGGAGAGAGAGGGAGATGGTGATACAGGGACAGAGCCACGCACGCCAGTGTGAGATGCTGTGACCTGGCAGCCCGAGCAGGTGACAGTCACATGGCTCTGAGTCAAAGATGTGTCTCAGCTTGTCCTCCTTTTCCCTGGGAAACACCTGTACAGGAGGGGAAACCCCTGTGGCATCATCCATCCCAGGGCAGGGAAGGATGACACTTAACTGTTTCAGCCCAAAGAGAAGTGCTCCTCTGGGCCAGGACCAAGGACTGGCAGGCAGGGTAGCAGATGGACAGGGGAAGAAAATCTTGCCCACCTTGCAGCACCACCAACTGCCATTTATCATCAGGCAGCAGGATCTGACCTTGTGCCTCCTATCCCACCAGCAAACACACCTCTCACTAACCAGGCTTCTATCTTCAGGCATGCAAAACACTGATGACACTCCAGTGCCCCATCTGGAGGCCGTGATTGGCCTCCAGCCCTGCCTGTGCCCAGCTGATCTAAGCCAAATCCCTCCCAGACCCGAGAATGAGGATGGGGAGAGGCAGCACCAAGTGCTGGGTGCATGTGCCTGGGACAGCCCTCATTCCCCAGCACGGGCTGAGCCAGGCTGATATCCCCAGAGCTAAATATAACTCCCCAAGATGAGCTAAGGAGGAATTTCCTCCCCTCCCTTGCTCCCTGCCTGACCTTCTTGGGGAATCTTGGAGCTGGCGCTGCCTTATAGGAGCAGTAACTCCACCAGTCAACTCCTGTAAGGCAGCTCCAGCTCTACATTAACACAGCCAGTGCCCTGTACAATAAACCCTGCTTGATAAGAGCAAAATTAAACTCTTCCAAAACACTTCTTCACTTCCCAAAACAGCCTGAAAATCCTGGTATCCTAACTGGAAACTGCTATACAGTCTTAAAAAACCGAACTTCCTTGAGATGGCACGGGGCAGATTGACTTCCCTTTGCCAGGGCATGTGTGCAAGGGAAAATGTGTCTGTGAAAAACATGTGATGGAGGAGCTCAGCCCCTGCTTGCACAGTGACCAGAGGGAATGGCACACAGGGACCAGCAGCCACAGAGATGGGAAATGTTGGATGGAAAGAAGGGAATGGGAGAAAATATATCACATTTGCAAGGGCAACAAGCACCAAGACCAGTAGGCTCCTCTCAGGGAGTAGAATTAAGTTTTTAATTTAACAGACAGAAAAAATCCATTGTCCAGCGCGTTGAGCATCAGCTCAGCCAGTCACGCTGCAGCCCTGGACTTTGGAATAGTAAATCTGGAGTTCTCTCATTTCCTCCTTCCAGGATAAACCTCTTGTTGCTGAACCTGCTTCCAGCCCGCCTGGCACTGCTCCTCGCTCCCGTCCGCTGGCCTTGCTCCCGCCTGGCAGCAGGGACAGGGGCAGCCCACGCCGGCTGGCACCAGCAGCGCTGCCTGGCTGCGGCCCCAGCTGACCCCGACTCGGCTCCGAGCCCTCCAGAGCAGCAAGGGGCCGAGGTGGCTGAGGAGGGACAGAGAGGACAGCACTCTGCCACCCTTCTCCCTGGACATCCACCAAGGAAAAACACCAGGGGCCACGCAGCACAACCCCCTGCTTGTCACAGCAAGCAGGGACTACTGGGATGCTCCCAGGGCATCTGCAGCCTGCAGAAGCGCATCGCGTTCGATGTCCTGAGCAGGGAATGCAGAGGCATCGGCAGCAGTGCAGGAGATGCTGCCAACCTTGGACAGGAGTGGATGGCACTGCCCGACTCCACTGCCAAGCTCACCTGTCCCAATCCAGCCTCAGGAAGTGTTTCAGAGCTGGCAGCTCCCCGGCTGCAGAAGAGAGGGACTGATGGACTGTGCTGGTTGCAGCAGCCTGAGGGATCGACCACTCAGCTCTCCCGAACCA